GAAGGACAGTAGGATGGGGAATCTAAATCTACAGAGGGCTGACCAGGAACCCCCCCCCCAACTGTTCAGCCCTGTCAAGGTACCGCACTGATGAGACCATATATAATGAGGACAGAGCTCAGTGGCAAGTCTAGGACGCCTCTCTTCCCCCTTTCCTCGGACCATATGAGGGTCCAGCTCAAATGGTCTGAGACGCCTTAGGAGAAAAACCTCAAAGCCTGTGAAAGAATTCCACTGTGGGGCCATTTGTCCTGGTCACTGCAAATGGAAGCTAATGAACTTGACCTGGGACTGGGGAAACACACAGATTCCCACACTCTGGCTAACCATGCTCTAAGTAGACAAGGGATCAAGTGATCAAGTATTCCAGCCCAGTGGGAAGGGGCCAGACACAGTAGGAGGAGTGGCTTCGTGGTGGTGGGCTGGGTGGGCTGGTTTCATGGGGCTGGAGCTTAGTGAGGGGGCTGGATGGGTGTGGCCTTGTTGGGCGAGGCTTACTGGGGGCGGGACTTGGCCAGAGTTCTTCCAGTCATTGGGGATCATGACCTTGATGGTAATTGTGGGCTGCTGGTGTCTGTCTGTCTGTCTCTCTCTCTCTGTCTCTCCCTCTGTCTGTGTGTCTATGTATCTCTTCTCACTCTCCCATCCTTGAACACCGGTGTTCACATATGATATACTACCACAAGCCCAAAGCAACAGAGTCATTCATGGGCTGAAACCAAACTTGTGCAATGGAATAAACCTTTCCTCTTTATAAATTGATTGTCTCAGGTATTTGGGCACAGTCAAAGACACAGGTTGCCTTTTCCTTCTATGTGGGATTTGAATTGCTTGTTGCCTACATGGATTGCAAAGATGTCTTTCAAGTTTGTGGCTGGTCTTCAACTGTCTTTTTTTTTTTTTTTTTTTGAAATGGGGTCTTGCTGTGTTGTTGCTCAGGCTGGTTCAAACCTGTCATCTGTCCATGCCAGGCTCCAAGCACTGAAATTATAGGTACGTACTACCATGCTTGGATCCTTCACAGACTTTTTTTTTTTTTTTTTTGGGTCCGGTCATGGGGCCTGAACTCTGGGCCTGGGCGCTGTCCCTCAGCTCTTCAGCTCAAGGCTAGCGCTCTACCACTTGAGCCACAGCACCACTTCTGGCTTTTTCTTTTTCTGCTTATGTGGTGCTGAGGAATGTAACCCAGGGCCTCATGCATGCAAGGCAAGCGCTCTACCACTGAGCCACCTTCCCAGCCCATCCTTCACAGACTTATGTTTAAATGTAGTCTAATTTATCAATCTTTTCTTTTATCATTTGTACTTCATGTGCTTCGGAACTATTTGTCTGCCCTTATTACAAAATTCTTTTGTATTTTCTGAAAGCTTTCCAGTTTCTCTTTAAAAAAAAAAACAAACCAACTTTCACTTGTAATTTTTTTTTTTTTTGGCCAGTCCTGGGCCTTGAAGTCAGGGCCTGGGCACTGTTCCTGAACTTCTTTTTCCTCAAGGCTAACACTCTACCACTTCCGGCTTTTTCTGTGTATGTAGTACTGAGGAATGGAACCCAGAGCTTCATGCATGCTAGACAAGTACTCTACCACTAAAGCCACATTCCCAGCCCATAAATTTTTGTTGTTGATGATGACAATGGTGGTCATGGGGCTTGTCAGGGCCTGGGTACTATCTCTGAATTCTTTTTGCTCAAGAGTAGCACCATTTCCAGTTTTCTGGTAGTTAATTGGAGATACAAATATCATAGACTTTCCTGCCTGGGTTAGCTTTGAACTGTGATCCTCAGATCTCAGCCTCCTAAGTAGCTAGGATAATGGGTATGAGCTACCAGCACCTGGCTTCACCTGTAAATCTTTAACCCATTAAAAATCTATTTAGGGGGCTGAGAAGGTGGCTCAGTGGTAGAGTGCTTGCCTTGAGCTGAAGAGCTGAGGGACAGCACCCAGGCCCAGAGGTCAAGACCCACGGCTCATGAAAGAAAGAAAGCGAGAGAGAGAGAGAGAAAGAAAGAAAGAAAGAAAGAGAAAGAGAGAGAGAGAGAGAAAGAAAGAGAAAGAATAGAAAAGAAAAGATCCATTTTTATAGCTGGGCGCCGGTGGCTCACACCTGTAATCCTAGCTACTCAGGAGGCTGAGATCTGAGGATCACAGTTCAAAGCCAGCCCGGGCAGGAAAGTCCGTGAGACTCTTATCTCCAATAAACGACTAGAAAACCAGAAGTGGTGCTGTGGCTCAAGCGGTAGCACACTGGCCTTGAGCTGAAGAGGGCAAGGACAGTGCCCAGGCCCAGGGTTCAAGCCCCACAACCAACCAAAAAAAAAAAAAATACCTTTTATGAGCCACAAAACCATGTTGAACTCCCAATGCTTCAGATATAAACAGTTAACTAAGCCAGATACCACTGGCTCACATCCGTAATCCCAGCTTCTCAGGGAAGTGAGATCTGAGGATCTCAGTGTAAATCCAGCCTGGGCAGAAAAGTCTGAGAGACTCCATCTACAATTAACCAGCAAAAAGCAGGACTAGAGGTATGGCCCAAGTGGTAATGTGCCAGCCATAAGCAAAAGCACCAAGTGAGAATTCAAGGCCCTGAGTTCGAACCCTGGCACTGTCACAAGAAAAAAAAAACTTCCTTTTCTATGTAGTGTGAGGTCGGCCTCTACTTTCATTGCTCTCATCTGATGGTTAACTATCAGCATTGTTTACTCAATAGACCATCCTTGCCTAGACTTTCATCAAGGACTCAGGTTAGAACTAAGAGCCCAGCTAGTCCAACCCCTGAGGAACAGATGCTCAGAAAGGGAGAGTATTTTTGATGATGCCACAGAGCACTTGCTTGGAATGCCTAACTCTCACCATGGGGAATGTCCCTGTGCTATTCACTCTGGATCAACACTAGAGACCACCTGGCTGGGGATTGCTTGGAAATCCAAGTCCAAATTCAGGGATGTGGTCTACATATAAAATACACAACCAATGCTGAAGACACAAACAGCTCCCAAAGAGTTCATAGCGATTACTTGTTGGAATCATAATGTTCTGGATGTAAAGATTTAACAAAATTGGGTGCAGTATCTCAGTAAGCTTCATGGGAGGAGATTGGAAGGATTATAGTTCCAAGACAGCCTAGGGAGAAAAGCTCACAGGATTCCCCGCACAACAGTGAAAAGTGGGAGACGGGCATCAGTGGCTCACATCTATAATCCTATTCAGGAAACTGAGATCTGAGAATCATGGTTCAAAGCCAGTCCTGGCAGAAAAATCCATGAGACTCTTATCTCCAATGAACCATCAGAAAACCAGAAGTGGCGCTGTGGCTCAAAGTGGTAGAGTGTTAGCCTTGAGCAAAAAAAAATAGCTCAGGAACAGCACCCAGGTCCTGAGTTCAAGCCCCAAAACTGACAATAATTAATTAATTAACTAATTAATTAATTAAAAAGCTGGGTATGGTAGTGCATGCCTGGAATCCCAGCCTCTGTTTGTGGATGGTTGTCCTAGTTATTATCTTGGTTCATCCTTGCTGTGAGTAATAGCTCAACCTAGGCAAGGATAGTCTGTTGAGTAAATGGTGCCAATAGCTGAGACTATCCAGACTGTATGAAGAGCATAAATAGGAGGATCGTGGTTCAGGCCAGCCCAGGCACAAATATGAAACACTACTTGAAAAATAACTAAAAATAAGGTAAAGGACCAGAGCTGGGGTGGAATGTCTGCCCATGCTACACTTTTGTTCCAGGACCCTTGAGAGCAAGCTTTCACAAGTCCAAAGGGGCCACTCTGAAGAAGACAAATTTGTGCAGCTAACCCCAGCCATCCACCACCAGGCCAGGAATCACTCAGGTCCTTTTCGTTTTTGGTGACAGGGTCTTCCTAAATCTACCCCAGCTGGCCTGGAACTCACTGTCCTCCTGTTTCTGCCTCCCAAGCAGCTGGGATTACAGGCGAGCCCCACCTCACCCGGCCACTTTGCACCAGCCTGGGAAGAGGGTTCTTCCTGTCCTCCTGGGGGAGTGGAGGGTTAACCTCCTCCAGTTATGACACAATGACCCAACCCAACTGGGTCTGCTCCACTGGAGCGCAGGACACACCTGGGCAGTCCACTTACAAAGATGAAGACCCTGGGTCGGGAAGGGGGATGGGGCGCGGCAGGCAGGACGCCCCTCCCTTAGAGGCCAGGGGTGCGAGGTGTCTTCTCCACCAAAACCATCCTGCCTTCTTCAGAAAGACCCCCCCCCCCAAGATTGCAAGGAGCACTCGAAGAGGATTTCACACGGGAGACCCCCCCCTAACAAAATCCTAGAGAAACTGAGTCACTGCAAGCCTCTCCACCCACACCTAGCTGGGGGGTACTAACAGCAGGAGGGAAACACAGCTGCTCTACAAAGGCAGCACGAGTGGGGTGGGGGAGGGAGGTGAGCCCCGGAGCTCACTTCGTGAGAAGACCAGGATGTCCGTTCTGGGTCCCAAGCCTCAGTTTCCCCCACGTGAAAGAAGCACTAATCCATTCTTCTGCCCTGCTGTGAGGATGGACAGAAGGGGTGCACAAACGGGGCCCGTTAGCATTTCTAACAGCGCGTCCAACAGATGGAGCAGGAGTCGGCCCCACGAAGCGCGGTAGATGCTTTCCAGGGATCATCTCGTTTAATCCTCGGGGCGAGGAGGGGGGACCCCAAGCGAGAACTGGAGACCCGCCTCAAGCCCTGCGTGGCCATCAAGAAAAAATGAGGCTCAGACGAGGGCAGCGACTGGCCCAGGGGCACCCCGTTAAGAATGGGGGTCTTGCTGCGTCTGCCCCGGGTGGCTCGGGCCTCGCCGCTGGGATTACAGGCGTGCGCCGCCACGCCCGGCCAGGGGACCCCGGGGCGCAGACGCCCATCCAAGACCAAGGCGACGCCGTCCCGTGGGTGGGGTGTTTCTGGCCGGGATGGGGGGGGGTGTCCATCTCTGCAGTCCAGGTTCCTGAGCCTCGGAGGACAGCGGGGACCCCCAGCCCCCCGCCGCTCACCTGGCGTATTTGGTTTTCTGGAAATCCAGCAGCCGGGGAGCGAACATCGCGGCGGTTCCATCGGCGCCCTGCCCCGGGCTCGGCACGCGGGAACTTGGAGAGCCACGGGCACAGGCGCAGCAGGTTGGACGACCCGATCTTAAGTGCTGGGGGGACGCGGTCGGCACCCCGAAACCCCCCGGAGCCCAAGCCCGAGAAGCCGGAGCCCGAGGCGCGCGCGGAGCCGGCGGCGCCAAATCCCGAGCAGATGGTGGCGGGGGCGGGGGGGGGGGGGGACTGAGAGGGGGGCTCCCGCGGGCCGCCCATGCCCCGCCCCGCCCACCTCCACGCCCTCGGCCGCAGCCACGCCCCTCGCCTCGCCACGCTGCCCACAGCCCCGCCCCGCTGCCCTCAGCCCCGCCCCGCCCCCGCCCATCACTTCTCGCCCCGCCCCATCGCCCCTGCCCATCATTCCTCGCCCCGCCCACCGCCCCTTAGCCCCGCCCTGTCCATCACCCTCCCTGCCCCGGACTCTGTGGCTTTGGGGAATCCTCCCCCCCATTATCTCCCAGATAATTTTCGGTTACAACGACCCCAGGATCTGTCGGGTCCTCCCTCGGGGTCCCTCAGCCAAGTGGGTGTTGGGACCACCAGCCAGTAGGCCCTACCCCTTCCCACCCCCAACGAGGGCGACAAGATCAAAGAAGCACAAGACGAGCAAGGTGGAGCACGCCAGTAATCCCAGCACCGGGGAGACTGAGGCAGGAGGATATAGGATGTTCAAGGCAAGGCTGGGCCACCAACATGACCTCATCTCAGAGAGACAGAGAAATATAGAGACAAGAGAAAAGCAGAATGACCCAGAGACAGAGAAACAGAAAAGAGACAAGAGACGAGACAGAGACAGGGAGGGAAGAGAGGGCAGGGGAGGAAGGAAGGAAGGAAGGAAGGAAGGAAGGAAGGAAGGAAGGAAGGAAGGAAGGAAGGAAGGAAGGAAGGAAGGAGGGAGGGAGGGAGGGAGGGAGGGAGGGAGAGAGAACCTCATCTGGGGATTCAAGGACAGGCCCCAGGTTGCAATGAAGGCCTCTCCCCACCTCCCCCTTTCCCTCCCCGGCTGGGCCCGTTCTCTTTTAGAACAATGTCTGTCTGAGATTTTGCAACAGCTGGGAAGGCGCCCACCCACAGCCCCTTGCAGTGAGAGACAGAACAAGGAACAGAAAGCCAAATGGAGGGCACTAATTCAACTCTGCACCCCCAAAGCTGCCCTGAGGGAGCCCCCAGCCATGTGCCATGAGGACCTGAGCGGCCATGCATGTGGCTGGGGCTGGGGCTTGGGGGAGGCTGCTGGAAGCAGAAGCAGAAGGAAAACATCCAGAGATGCTCAGGCAGGAAGACTTACCAACCTGAGATCCAAGGATTGGGGTTCAAAGCCAGCCTGAGCAAAAACATCCCCCAAGACTCTTGTCTCCAATTAACTAGCAAAAAGTCACAATTGGAGCTGTGGCTCAAGTGGTTAGAGTGCCATCCAGCCTTGAGCAAAAAGCCAACTGAGAGCAGAGGCCTTGAGTTCAAGCCCCAGGATCAGTGTGTGTGCATGTGTGTGCGTGTGTGTGCATGTACGTGCCAGGTGCACACAAGCACAAAAAGTTGGGGTCACAGCAACCACCTGATGCTGGTGACTTCTAGATAGGACTGTTGGCAACAATGTTATTGAATGTTGTCTGGGTCAAGGCTGCTGTGTGCAATTGGGGTGCAGCAACCTGGGGGATGGGAACCATCTGTGAAATGAAAATGACACAGAAGAAAATTCTAGAAAGCACTCCCTCACACAGTGAGAGGAAGGAAGGTCCTTCAGTTTCTTGCTTGGCACACAGACATGTCTCCTGCTATAAGCCATAGTTCCTAGCAAGAGGTCTCTCCCATTGTCCTGTTTACTTGCCTCTCTCCACACACTGTCCAGCACTTAGTAGATGCCACTTAGTACCTACTGACCAGGGAAAGGATGAGGAGAATCAGGCCCGATTCTCAGCCAGGTCCCAGGGATGCCAGGGACTAGGCTGGGGGCTCCAGGAAGGGAAGCAAGGAAGCTGGGCCATGTGGGAATTGGGGGGGGGTGCTTTCCTCTAACCACTTGCTTCCCCCTGTGGCTCCACAGAGGGTGCAAAGTAACACATGCTCAATAGTACAGGCGATTTGCAGAGGGGGGAAATACACAGACCTGGGTGAAGATTAGCAGTCAACATCTCCTTGCGGACATATGCAGAAGGGAAACTGAGGCAGGTAGGAGCAAGCCTGTGCTGAATGGAACCCCCATTCCCTGGATATAGAGCTTATTACCCAACAGAACTCTCCAGAACTAGTGAGTGCTCAGAGCTCCCAGTGACAGAATCAAACAGGAACAGACAGACAACCAAGTCCCAGCACCCCCATGTGAAAGCCAGTACCCTCCACCCCAGGTCCCAGCCTCCTCATCCACTGCATTAATGCATCTGTCCCCGGCCCCACCTTCGCCCCAGCCCTCAACTCCAACTTCCACTGAAGTCCCTGCTGGCTTGGCAAAGGTTAAAGTTCACCACCAGTGTGTCTGATCACAGCTGCCTCCTCCCCAACCCCCACCCCCACCCCCCACTCCTGCCATTGCTTCCCAGGGAGTTACAGTCAGGCTGGGGCTAGAGAAGAGTCAACAGGCTAGAACCAGATGCCCACCCTCCACCTCCAAGGTTTTTGCCATCTCCCTGGCCCCAGGATGCTGTTCACCATCAAGCGGGTCTCTACAGGCCCCCTTCTCCCCAGAGGAGACCCCTGAAAGGAAAGACAAACCTAGGAATGGATTTTCTTTTCTTTCTTTTTCTCCACAGCTAAAGAAGTTGAATAAAAAATAAGTTACTATTTTTACTGCCAGGATCTGGTTGTTATGGCAACCAAGGGCCTGACTCCTGCTCCAGAGTCAGGCTTGGACTGTGTCTGAGCAGGGAGATGGCAAAGACTGCAGGGGATGGACCCTGGGAGCCACGGGGCTGAGTCCACACCCCAGGGGGCCACTCTGTCCACCAGACCAGTCCCTGGTGAATTCAAATTAATCTCCCTTAGGCATAAGCCCTTTGGAGCTTCTTCTTATTGTTGTTGTTGTTGTTGTTTGCTTGTTTGTTTTTCTTGCAGTCCTGGAGTCTGTTCTCCAGGGCCTTGCCCTTGCTCAGCTTTGCTTGCCAGGCTGTTGCTCTACTACTTGAGCCATGCCTCCAGCCCAGCTTTTTGGAGTTGGAGTCTCCTAGATTGTTCTTCCCAGGCTAGCCTCGAACTTTGATCCTCCATATCTCAGCCTCCCAAAGAAGCTCACCTCTGCCAGCTGTGAGCTCAGACTCAGGATACACCTTTTCTTTGCCACTCTTGGAAGTGGAAGAACTCATCATGAGTGGCTGCCCTTCCACCTGAGTTAAATCCAAAGTACCACAAAATAAATAGAGAAGAAAGAAGGAAGGAAGAGAGGGAAGGAGGGAGGGACCAGAAAAAAAAAAAGAGAGAGAGAGAATAAAAACCAACAACAACCAGGCCAAACTCCTTCCAAATTCCCAACTGCTTTTCGGAATTGCTCTGCCATCGCCCAGCCTCCATGCACAGATCAGGGGCTATGGTTAGGCATTGTCCTTTTTCTTTGGGGCTCACAGTTGAATAGGGGAGACAGCTGGTTAGAGCAACCACTAGGACCTTGGCTGCCAATGAGCGTCCGTGTGTGGGGATGGATGGAGACGAAGGTAAGCAAAGCTGGACGTGTTGTGGTCAGGTCAGATTTTAATCAATCTCAGTGACTACAACTGGGCAAAGTCCAGTGGGAGCTGAGCCCAACTTCCATTTGTGTAGAAGCTAGGTCTGGGTGTTTTAAAAGTAGTGGGGAGCGGAGACGTGGTAAAGGGGGCACTCAGAAGGAGCAGGGGAGGGAAAAGTTTCAGAAAGCACACTGGGGTTTTGGGCCCCATGAGACCCAGTTATAACTGGCTTCATCAGTAATGATGGCCTCCTATCCTCCTTGGAGGGCTGGAAATGCAGCAAGGACTGGGTCACAGGGAGGGGGCCTTGACCTGGCCCTGGGTTTGTAATGTTGTCTCTTGTGTATGTATACACACACACACACACACACACACACACACACACACACACACACACACACACACAGAGGATACATGGAGGAAGAAACATAGAAAGTTGAACAAAACAAAGACAGCAAAAGAATGGGGCCTGGACTCACCTAGGGAATTATGGGTAGTTTTTTGTTTGTTTGTTTATTTGCTTTTTGCTAGTCTTAGGGCTTGAACTCTGGACCTGAGCTCTTCAGTTCAAGGCTAGCACTCTACCACTTGAGCCACAGCTCTACCACTTGAGCCACATCACCACTTCCAGTTTTCTGGTGGAGATAAGAGTCTCATAGACTTTCCTGCCCAGACTGGCTTTGAATTGTGATCCTTAGATCTCAGCGTCCTGAGTAGCCAGGATTACAGGTGTGAACCACCAGTGCCAGGGTAGTTATTTCTGGTGGGAAAGTATCTTGAACTTGTCCTGTCACCCCAGCACATTCAGGCATGCTTTCTGTCACATTGAGGCATAATTGTGTTCAGAGATCTCAAGGTTGGTCTGTTGAGGATCATTGCAACATAGATGGCTGAGCACCTATTGGAACAAAGATGGATTCTGCCACATGTTCCCATCTCAAGATCAATGTCCTAGCTGCACATTGTCCCTTACAGACATGTGCCGTCAGAAGAGGCACTGGGCGCTGGTGGCTCATGCCTGTAATCCTAGCCACTCAAGAGGCTGCGATCTGGGCTGGGAAGTTGGCTCAGTGGTAGAGCGCTTGCCTTGCATGCCTGAGGCCCTGGGTTCGATTCCCCAGCACCACATAAGCAAAAAGAAAAAAGCCAGAAGTGGCGCTGCCGCTCAAGTGGTAGAGCGCTAGCCTTGAGCTGAGGAGCTGAGGGACAGCGCCCAGGCCGAGTTCAGACCCCACGACCAGACCCCCCCACCCCCCCAAAAAAAAGAGGCTGAGATCTGAGGATTAAGGTTCAAAGCCAGATAGAAAAGCCTCTCTAATTAGCTAGCAAA